CTGTTAGTGTGCAAACTGTCCTGTTAGTGGGTGGCATCCACCCCTTCAGACCACAGGTATTGTCCCATCAGAATCTGAATTAAACCTCACACTAATCATGCCATTCAAAGCACCTCTCCCCACTGGCTTTATAAAGCAATGAATTTTTCAGCCACTGCCGTATTTCCCTTCGCAGGACAGAGAGGAGAGTCTCTATTTTTCCCCTCATAACATCAAGAAAACCGAAGACAAGAGAGCGGCAACTTCCCCTTCCAATTCCTCACCTGGCTGGTTTACGTCCCTTGACTCTGTTCCACCAGCCTCTTCTGTTTCGTTTTGTTTTGGGGTTTTCACTGTCAAGACAGGGGGCTGGCTGGCCGGCCACCAAATAAGGGAAAGTCATTTTGAGAATGCTCAGGAGATCTCAGATTTAACTATTCTGATTTCTCCTCCAGCCTTCAGAGGTGGAAAGTACTGTGTATCTCACACCAAAGTCTCCATGGATATGGGCAAGGTTTCATGCTCTTAGAGCTAAGTCCAGAGTGGTGATGTGAAAAATGTCTGTTAGTGGCTTTCAGGATTTATTTTTCCCTTCAGCTATAGCACAGAAATCTTAGTATTGCTATAAAACGACTGCACGGTGTCCTCCCATCCCTCAAATTCTGTTCCTGGGAAAGACCACAGCTCACACATAGGATGATGCATGACTCAACATCTCTCTTCATGGTCCACCCTCCCTTGCTTAACTCCCCTTCCTCTTCCCATTTTCCATAGGCAGCAGAAGGGGTTGCCGTGGATGGTGATTAGTATACAGAACAAAAGCATATTTTCAATGACCTATCTTGAAATCAAAACACTAATTCTGGAATGCCTTTCTTCCATCTATTTGATTTGAAATGACCTCGCACACAAATGCAAAAGCCTTAGACCCATTTTGTTGTGGTCCAGACGATGCTTGCAGCCCATGACCCCAGCTTCATTGAAATGATCCCTCTCTAGTTCAAGGTTTTGCTGACTCCATTTTCCATAGTTAATTACTCATATTTAAAAGGTTGTCTAATACCACCCAGCTCATTTACATAACTGAAGCAGGAGTCCATGCCCGGACCTTAAGCTTCTTCTCCCTCCAAGTGCTCCTTCCCAGCTGTCTAATCCAATTTGAAGCTTTTTGTGGGGAAGCGTCTGTCATTTGCTATGTCTGTTTCCTTTTGTATGTATTCAGAAGAAAGGATGCAATGTTTACAAAAATACAATAACAAAAAGCATAGAAGGCTTCAGAAGGTGGAAACTAGAGAGATTAGCTGATTTTAAATGATCTGCAGGGATTAACTAACAGCTAAAACTATTTGCCTTTCAAATAATATTATATGCTGATTTTTAAAAAAATCCTGGGTGTTGACTGCAAATATACTAAACATTACAAGGTTTTCCTGATTTGTCCTCCCCATACTCAATATCGTGCTAGCCAATCACACAGTTTTCCAGATCCTTCTAAAGTTCTCTAGAAGCTTAAAAATGTTCTCAAGGATTTTATATAAGAAACCCAACCCAATTCTCTGTAGGCCCACTAAACTTAAGCTCCCCCATATCCTGATACAACTTAAAAATTTTCCAGACACACTGAAAATTCAAGTAAAATACTGAATGTAGAATCGTTTTTGCCTCAAAAAGCAATAACTTTCATATCTTTTGAATAATTATAAATAAATAATTTCAAACAGTTAAATAGATTACTTTCTAAATTAGGAGACAATTTTAGTTTACCTAGATAAGACATAAAATTCTTAAGAGGGGTTTTCTGGTAAGTCATTAACAATAAAAATAAATAATAAAAAATGAACATTTTGTATTATAGTGGAAAATTGTTCTGCACCTCTGATGTTTACATAACTTTTTTCTTTTTTCTTTTTTTCTGCTGTTATAGAAAGTCACAGAACATACTGCTCTCCTAAAACAGCAGAGGTTCAGGCCAATTTATAGTGAAATTCAAGAAACTACTCATACTCTTTAGTTCTACTGACATTTTGTCTCATAAATACAATTTCCTAAATAATTATGGAATGACTATTATGTGAAATGTACCATTTTAGGGGTTGTTGGGTATAGATAAAAATTTTATAGCAACCATTTAGCTTACTTTGCCCATTTTATAGTTGAGAAAAACCAAAGGAGACACAGACAATCAGAAGCTGGGTATGAGCAATAAGGTCTTAACCTTATTCCTAAACAAAAATACATTTTAGAAAACAAGGGTATCAGTTTTGCTGTCTTTAACTATACAAAAGAAAGGATAAAGAAGAGGGAGAAGCCAAGAAGGAAGGCTTGATAATGACTCTACCCAGAGAACAGGATCAGCCTCAATCTGTGGAAGCTTTTTTGTTTTTGGTTTTTTGGTTTTGTTTTTAAGGCACAGGGCCTGATGCTTTTATTTATTTATTTAAAGATTTTATTTATTTGAGACAGAAAGAGAGAGAGAGAGAACAAGCAGGGGGAGAGGCAGAGAGAAAAGCGACTCCCTGCTGATCAGGGGGCCCGATGCAGGGCTCGATCCAGGACTCTGAGATCATGACCTGAGCCGAAGGCAGACGCCCAACAGACTGATCCATTTTACTGTTGTTATAAAATATGGACATAAAGCAAACTGCAATGAAAATACGAAAAAGTCCGGATTCCTGGTTCAGCTATGAACCTTAGTGATGCTGGCAAGCTACTCTACTTTCTGGATTGTGATTTCCTCAATTATTCAGGGAGGTGTTTGACTAGGTATTTATAAAAATTAAATCTAGTACAGAATTCCCAGAATTCCATGGAAAGACTTTTGTCCTCAAATAAGGAAAACCTGCCTTATTGAAGCTGTTCAAAAATGACATGCACATCATTATAAAATCGTGAATTACATATTTGAGTTTTTATAATAGCAACTGATTAATTATTCCCCAAAACTCCTTGAATGCCGATCCATGGGCTCCCTGCTATGGATGGAATACTGCATTCCCCCCCCTCCCTCCAATTTGATATGTTGAAGCCGGAATCCTCAATGTGATGGTATTTGGAGGTGGGGCCTTAAGGAGGTGATTAGGTCATGAGGGTGGAGACTTTGTGAACGGGATCAGTGCTCTTTTTTTTTTTTTTTAAGATTTTATTTATTTATTTCACAAAGAGAGAGAGATAGTGAGAGCAGGAACACAAGCCGGGGGTTGTGGGAGAGGGAGAAGCAGGCTTCCCGCCAAGCAGGGAGCCCGATGCGGGGCTTGATCCCAGGAACCTGGGATCATGACCTGAGCCGAAGGCAGACGCTTAACGACTGAGCCACCCAGGCGCCCCGGGATCAGTGCTCTTACAAGAAGAGACACAGAGAAATCATCTCTCTCCTGGCCAGCCCTGTGAGGGAGGATGCAGCAAGAAAGCAGCAGTCTGCCAACCAGGAAGAAACTCTCACTAGGAACCAAATCAGCAAGCACCTTGATTTGGACTTCTCAGCCTCTGGAACTGTGAGAAATAAATTTCTCTTGTTTAAGCCAGTCTGTGGCATTTTGTTATAGCAGCCCCCAAAGCTGAGTCATACATTGGCAGACACACCCATCCAGCAAAGCTAAAACAGGGGGTATGTTGGGGGAGCCCAGGAGTCGAAACTGGGGAGCAGATAAAAGCAGGCCAGGCCAACTGCTATGGCCTGCAGGAGCCACTGCTGGACATTAAGCATGAGATGAGGAAGTTTTTATTAGAAAGGTTCCTTTGGCAGCAGCGTGGAGGACAGGACAGATTCAAGAAATTGCAAGAAGACTAGCTGTGGTCGTTCAGGTAAGAAATTATGCAGGGAGATGGAGAGAAGACAACAGCTGTGGAATTTATTTGAGAGGCAGAGTCAATGTGACTTCGGAAGAGTGGAAGGAATGTAGAGATATCTGACCCAATCCTTTTATTTTATGGATGAGGACTAGACAGATTGATTTACTTGTTTAAGAATCTAAATTTAAGTAGTGGCAGAACTAAAACTAAAATTTAAGTCTTCTGATCTCCAGCACTCCCTCCCCCCAGACACAGGAGACTTTTTCATACTTTAAAATGTTTTCCAGGGAAAGGTAGTATTTTAGCTTCCCTAGCATTAGTTTTCCTCATTATAAAACATATCTGTACAGACTAAGTATTTTGTCATCCTTCATTAATCCATTTTTCTACACACTACATGGTCAACTAGCTGGTTAATTCCATTAGGTCGATTAAAAAAAATACACAGTTTACAAAACGATAGTATATCTAACGAAAAGTGGTCATTGTTCAGTCTTTCATAAGAGAAAGTCAACACTACCGTCTGTAATTGAAATTTTTTGTTAAAAACTAATTGCTCAACCCCTTACTACAAAACCTGTTTCCTCAATTGTATATGAATCTTTTAAAAAATGTGTCTTTTGGTGAGATATATTTATTTGAATATTGAAAAAATAAAATGTAAAAAATAATACACAGATTTATTTTGAGACTTAAACATTCTTTCTTCTTACCACCTATTCATTTGTAAGCAGAGTACAGAATGTACTCGGTTTGGTGGCCCTCTTTCAGTCCTTCTGGCCAGTTTTCAGGAGGTCTGGAAAACTTAAGGGCCAGAAAGGCTGGAGAGGGAGTACAGACCGGCTCGCTAACATCCAGACCTGGGCTGCCCAATCCAGCAGCCACTAGCCACGGATGGCAACTGAGCACTTGAAAGGTGGCTAGTTCACATCGAAATGTGCCGTCTGAGGACACATATGCTGGATTCTGAACATTCTGTAGGAAGAACAGAATGTGAGATATCTCACTGATGGTTTAATCAATACATGTTGAAATAACATTTTAGATTTACTAAGTAAAACATATTACATTACATTACATTAATTTTACCCATTTTCCTTTTACTTTTTTGAATGTGGCTGCTAGAAAATTTAAAATTAACTATGTGGCTCATATTATATTTCTATATTGGAGTGTGCTACTCTAGACATTTGCAACATAGTTCGAGGCAGTAAGGCGTTCATAAATAACATCATAGCTACCGGGTGCGTGGTAGAAGAGGCTGGGGAGATCAATTCTGTCCAGACTGGTCAGGTCAGGCTCCAACCCGCCAAAGCCTAAGAAAAAAAAAATCCCAATAAAGTCCTGGCTTCCATCTCAAATTCTAGAATGAAAACCAACTCCTGAGGATTTGAGACCAGAGGATCTTCTAAGGATAGAAATTGCTCAACTAATCCTCAATCCTCAAACCCTACAAGTTCATAAGCTGAAGTATTACTTTTGTAACACAAAGGGATCCAGGATATGTCTATTCAGGGTTTCTTTAAGCCAGAAACTCCTGTTCCTAAGGACAGAGCCTCATAGAAAGTTTTGAGCAGCTTCCAAAAATGTGAAGAATGCCTCAAGGCTCAGCACATGAGGAGCTCTCCTTGGTACTGAGACCTCTGCTTTTGGTTGATCTCAATCTTGGCTCTCTGTGCCTGCAAGCTGAACTCCTCTGCCTTGGCCCTGTCTATTTGTTCTGCCTGAACACACCCAATCCCATACACTGTTCATAGCCAATCCTTGCACTCACCACACTCTATGAGGGTATGTTTATTTACACACTCCTCTCTCCCCCTGGACTCGGCTCCTTGAGGCTAGCAATAACATTCTATATCCATCTTCGTGCACCAAGTACATAAGTCGGTATAAAGTAGGCATTCAATAAATGAATACAGTCCTAGCTAACTTGTAATTGTGGCACTCTATGATCTGCTATATCTCCTATGTTGGGATGCACCAAGTATAGGTTAGGCTTTAAAAAAAAGATTTAAGGTGGGGCATCTCGGTGGCTCAGTCGGTTAAGTGTCTGCCTTCAGCTCAGGCAGTGATCCCAGGGTCCTGGGATTGAGCCCCACGTCATAGGGCTCCCTGCTCAGCGGGGAGTCTGCTTCTCCGTCTCCCTCTCCTTTTGCCCCTCCCCCCGACTCTTTCAGGCTCTCTCTCAAATGAACAAATAAAACCTTAAAAAAAAAAAGATTTAAGGTGTAATTTTTAAATTTTTTTGCAGGCAGAGGTGTGTGTGTGTGTGTGTGTTTGTACAATGGGAAATTCGAGGAGGGGGAGAAAGAGCAAAGAGTCAGCAGAGGGGTAGGAACAACATATGTTCAGAGCATGAGAAGATGAGGGTTGTGAGGCGGGGGTGAGGGTGGCGGGAGTAGAACATAAGCCTTATCTAGCAACTAAGGAGATTGTTATCCTTAGGCAAGGAATAAGAGCCTCAGAAAGATTTCATTTAGGGGACTGATAGGATAAAAGGAGTATTTTAGGGAACAGTGTGCTGTGGGGGAGAGGATCAAAGGCAAAACCAGCAATTAAGAAGTTACTGGAATAATTAATAAGTGAGGAGGAAGGGTATCTTGGGCTTGGCTTATGTGGGCAGAGTCTATAGAAGTTTAGAATCGGGAGGGAAATGAGCCATCTCATGTGACGGATGTATTAGTAAAAAAGCATTTGGAGAAGTCTGGGTATATTATGGGCAAAAATCCCTATGCACAAAAACCTAAGTACATTATTTTTTGCAAATTTTGCAACTGGGCTGATGTTATTCTATGGTCTAAAGACCGGCCAAGGAGAGTACTGGCTCACCAGGTTTCAGGTTGGTTGCATTACATTTTTATTACTGCTCTAAGCCCCACCTCTTTCAACTTTTTGCATATTTAAGTCACTATCCTTTTTACTGCTCTTTAAATGTGTACATAGTTATTAACTCTTAAATCTTGTTCTTAGTCAGTGATCCAAGCTATTTTTGGATCCTGTTTGCTATATATTGCATCCTTTAATTATGAATGGTTGGATACCACTTTTGCATGAACAGTAAGTACTCCCCTGTATTTTAAGAACATTTCTTATAATGAGATATTTATTTCTCTGCTCTAAGCCAAAACAGTCTCTCACCTGGATTGTTACAACAGCCTCCTAAACCACCACTTACTTCTACTTTTATTCCCATACAGAGGTCATGGATCGTTTAAAACAAAACCACATGGTACATACTGCTCAAAACCCTCCAATACCTTTTTATCATATTCAAAATAAAATCTAAATTTCTTGTCATGGCTACAAGGATCTACATGATTGAACCCTTGTCTACCTGACCAAAGGCATTCCCTACCATTTACCCTGTTGCTGACTGTGCTTTATCCACAATGGCTCCTTGAATTCCCTGAACCTAACAAATCTTCTGCCCATCTCTAGGCCCTTAAACCAGCTGGTGCCTACACTGGAGACCCTTCCCTCAGGTCTACTGATGCTTCAATCCTCAATATTCAGGTTGCTGCTCAAATGTCAGTTTTTCAAATGCCCACCTCTCCCACCTCCCACTGAACTCTCTAAAATTCCATTCCTCTCCCCACCTCCACACCTTTCCTCCAATTTCCTTTCTTCATGATATTTATTATCATCTAAAATTCCTGTTCAACAATCTGGAGGTGCTCATTGTAACAGGACACTGCTGGTGTTCCTCTGGTGTCCCTGTGGCACTCATCCTCCCAGGCACACTGATGGCTTCCTGCTGTAGGGATCTGCCACTCTCCACCTGAAGGGTCACCCTGGAGTGCTTGGCCACTGTGTGCTGCCCCAGTGTGGGACTGGACTAAAGAATGGGGAGTTGACACGTTGGCTGGGTTGACACCTCAGCCAATGACAATTGGAGTTGGTAGATATACGTCCCAGCCTCTTGACCACTTGGGTAGGACAACGCTGAGATATATTCTAAACAATCTCCCGAAGTCATGGTGGGACTGAGTTCCAATTGCCCACAGTGGTCACCTGCTCATTACTACACCCTGATTGGCTTTCTCTCTTCCCAATCTCACATAGTTTCTCCCCTGTGTGTGCTTCCTGGGACCAGCTCCCAGATAAACTGCTTGTACCCAAATCCTCATCTCAGAGTCTCCCTTTGGGGTTACCCAGGTTACCTTCTTTTTTTCCTTTTTCTTTTCCTCTTTTCTCTCTCTTTTACAATTTTAAATCTTTGCAAGTAGAATCACCTTTCGGTAGATGGTTATTATAGTTTAGACAGTGGTACATAGAATAGATTACTTGTCAGTTACTTGTTGACTGGGACCCCCAATAGAATATATGCTACCTGCTTGCCTACAAGCCTCTTTTTTTTTATTCTCGACTATCTTCCTGGTGTGCTGAACAGTGCCTAGCTCAGAATAGGTGCTTTATTACACACTTGATCAAATGTGGTGTTGACATGGTAATATTGCTTCCCTTCAAGAGCCACAACTTACTACTCAGGGAGATGAGACATCAAGGTCTCTTCTAGAATAGACTAGCCTCATCATTGGACTGTGGGGGACCCAAAGGCAACACTGGTAGATTCGAGGAGCAGCAACACCATTGGATTAACTAGAGCTCTCTCTCCACCAAGCACAGAATTTTGAATAGACTTCAGGATTAGAGTATATAAGACCCCATGTTTGTTTCACTTCAGTTTGTGACAACTCAAAAGGAGAGATGAATCCGTGCGGGCAGAATATGAGACTTATTGTTAATATGACAGGCTTAAACAATCAATGAAAGATTTATAGAGAGATGCAACAAATTGTACCTCAAGACTGTAAAGCAGATCATGCTTTGTTTTCTTTTTTTTTTTTATTCATGCTTTGTTTTCAATATGCTAGTTAAGGTTCTTTTTGGAATGAGATGGAATATAAGTTTAACAAAAGAAAACATTTGTCTTTTTGTATTTCCAGTGCAAACACTGCAGTGCAATTATGTGAATTGTAGGAACCCATTAGTCATCCATAGTGAGGCCCCTAAAAGACAATGTCACATAAAGTAGAGACAGCTGTGCCATCACCCTGAGAGTGCCTCGGGGCCTCAGGGACCCCTCTCAAAGCAGAGATGAAAAGACCACTCCCTCCCTGGCTGTGGAGTCGTTAGTGCTTGAATGGCACTAATAATAAGGCCACCATTACATGGATTATTACTATTATTATTATTATTATTATTATTATTTGTAAGAATGGTCGGTCCTCTAAGGATTGATTTGAGACTACTTTTTTCTACCTAGGTCCTCAAAAGCTTGCAAAGTTAGGTTGTCAAAGAGTCAAAACTGGGAATTTTGCTAATTTGGAATACAAGATGTTGCATCCTATTATCAAATCCCTGGAGCCCACCAGTCCATTAAAATAATGAGAATTGTAATGTTTCCCCTGCAATATTAAGAGCATCTTAATTACTTAATCTCCAGTGAGTGGCATACATATAAATTTTATGCATAATCCAATCAAAGAGCTACTGAACAGCGCTCTGTGTTAAAGTCAAAGAGAATTTTCCTTCCAAAGCTGACATTTGGTTGCCAACATCAGAACCACTAAAGAAAGTGTAAATGCAGACTGCCCGTTGTCCCTGCGTGTCAGAAAGGCCGCTCTGCCTTTACTATATGTCTCCACATATATGGTTCTATGGAGGAAATAGATTTTTCATGTGACATTTTGGGACTTGGTATAAAAAAAAACCCCACATTTAGCAATAATTCTATATTATTTTGCAAAATTTTTATTGACGATATTTTACTTGACGGGTAAAAAGATAAATTTAGGAACAATGCTTAGGCCAGTGGTAATTAATAAATGTGCGTATTTAGACACATATACTTTCTTTTGGTAAACACCATCCTTTCGTACTTTGCATGGCCCCCGTATTTTAAAATATTCCATATTTTTATAATAAGAAACTACAGTTGAAAATAAAAAGAAAATTGATTTGTCAACCATACAGCTCCACTTATAGTTTATATTTATTTTTAACAAAAACTTTATTTTTGTTCCCTTTATGCAAATTTATAACTATTTTGGTTCATCAAAAGAGAAGGCTCAGAATATATTCCAAAAACTGAGAATAATGGTGGCTCATTTTTACTGACAATCAACTCATGTTCCCCCTTGAGGCAAAAAATCAATTCCTCCCCTACACATTTGGATTGCAGTGACAAGCATGACCTGGTTGTTCAAATAAAAAGAGTGGGAGTCATCTTGGATTGTTCTCTTTTTCCACACCTGTTTCTCTCTAGTAGCCACAAACAGCTATAAAATGTAAGCTTAAAAAAACCCTATCATTC